CCACCCCCCACCCACATCATCCGCTGTCGCGCTATGACTGGTAGGCAAGTGCACTAACTGTTATTGCTCGCGAACGAGTTGAGATACAATTCTAAAAATCTACATACATAATGACACGTGTTAGCTATCTGTGAATTTCGAGTTTATTGACACACAATTAGTCTAATTAATTAGCTATTATTCACGTGCGGTAATGCCCATAGGCTTATACAGGCACGGCTGCAGGCAGGCGCGACCATATACTGCCGGTAAGAAAGTGCAGTTACAAGCACATGGAGCGAACGAGTTGAGGTACATTTCTAGAATTCTACATACATAAAGACACATGTGTTAGCTATCATCTCTGTGAATTTCCAGTTTATTGACACACGATTAATCTAATTAATTACCAAATGTATACGCCCGGTATCACTCATAGGCTAATATACGCACTTCTATACGCGGCAGGCAAGTGTATTGACTATCATATGGCACGAAGGATTTGAGTTACGTTTCTATACTTCTACATACATAAAGACACATGTGTTAGCTATCATCTCTGTGAATTTCCAGTTTATTGATGCACGATTAGTCTAATTAATTAGCTATTATTGACCGGTAGGAAAGTGTATTTGCGCCCAAATTTTAAGCTCCTCTCTCTCTGTTTCCTTCTCTCACTCACCCGCTACAGTTCCTTTTAGACTAATTCCTCTGGCGACTCTGACTATTTCAATATTAGACTTTGACATCTTGAGAGATTGTCTATCTGGCATACTTGATACTGCTTGATTACTGGCACTGTAATACTGGTGTTACTGATCATGATGCTGTCACAGTAGTGACCATAGCCGCAATAGTAATCGTGATGTTTTGTTTACGTCGCAGCCCATCTCCGACTGAACGCAAGCTCGTCTCGCCCGGCGAGAAAACAAACACGAGTCTCGACGTCGGTTCCCCGCGATGACGAAGAAGAAGTCTCGGGCGCCCGCGGCGTCGCGGGAGCAGCTGATGATGCTGACGGTGGCGGAGATCATTAGCGAGCTCGTTAGTGCGCACGACGGCTCCCGCGACGTCAACCTCAACCGCCTTAAGAGCCGCGCGGCGAGCAAGCACGGTCTCGCGTCGCAGCCACGCCTCGTCGACATCATCGCCGCCGTGCCGGCCGCATACAGGAAGGCTCTGCTGCCGAAGCTGAAAGCGAAACCTGTTCGCACGGCTAGCGGGATCGCCGTCGTCGCGGTGATGTGCAAGCCCCACCGCTGTCCCCACATTAACTTCACAGGTAGGTAATCTATAGAGCTGGACTCACATTAACTTCACAGGTAGGTAATCTATAGAGCTGTCCCCCCACATTAACGTCACAGGTAGCTGTCCCCACATTAACTTCACAGGTAGGTAATCTATAGAGCTGGACTCCCCACATTAACTTCACAGGTAGCTGTCCCCACATTAACTTCACAGGTAGGTGATCTATAGAGCTGGACTCCCCACATTAACTTCACAGGTAGCTGTCCCCACATTAACTTCACAGGTAGGTGATCTATAGNTATATATATATATATATATATATTATATCAGCCTGTTCTGCTAGCATCTATGACAAATACGACATACGCATACACGCTCTCCTACGACACTATTTGTCATACGAAGATTCTTCCTATGACAAATCAACATGTTCTGCTAGCATCTATGACAAATACGACATACGCATATACATTCTCCTACGACACTATTTGTCATACGAAGATTCTTCCTATGACAAATCAGCCTGTTCTGCTAGCATCTATGACAAATACGACATACGCATACACGCTCTCCTATGACACTATTTGTCATAGGAAGATTCTTCCTATGACAAATCAACATGTTCTGCTAGCATCTATGACAAATACGACATACGCATACACGCTCTCCTATGAAACTATTTATCATAGGAAGATTCTTCCTATGACAAATATTGTTGTATGTGTTGTGCGCATCATATGAGTTTAGGAGCGCTATTATGAACGCAAGCAGTGAATTTCAGCTGTAAAGCGGAACGAAGTTGACTCGCCAATATTTGTCATAGAAAGAATCTTCCTATGACAAATAGTGTCATAGAAGAGCGTATATGCGTACAGTGTATGTCGTATTTGTCATAGATGCAAACAGAACATGTTGTATATATAGTACTTTTTATTTATTTATTTATTTAAATAGATATATGCATACATGTAGCGATTGAAAATATTAAAATCACTCTCATGCACCGTTCATTATTCAATATTATAAAAATTTATGATGTACCATCCTCCCACTGATATTCCTTCCCCGATGTCGCGTAGTGCGTGAACGAGAGCAAGTCGCTGCGCGATGACGTCCTGCACTTCATGTCACATCATCCGCTCATGGACTCGCTCGTGTCATCCCAACACGGCGCTCCCGTATACTACGCGCATGACGTTACCTTCACCAACATCGTCGTCGACCGCGTGCAGGCGAAAGACGACGTTTACCTCGTCTACTTTCTAGCGACAGGTGACGCACGGTAGCCAGTAGCCACTGTAGAGGTTTCAAGTGGAGATGCGCCAAGGACGCGGTATCGGTGTATCTTGGCAAAAGTTTTTTTTAATACATCAAACGCGCATATGCTCGATTTTATTATGTTAAATCGCGCCGGATAGACGGATATCGGATACAAGGTGTGCGTTGAAACGGGTATTGTTATACGTGTGCGTGACGTGAGCCGAACGCTTGTGTTTTAGATGGCGGAGTCATTCACAAGGTGGTGCAGTACAACGACAGCAGCGGCAACGTTGCCGCATCGCTTCTCGCTGTCTATAATCTCGCCAAACCAGAGCCCATACGCACCATGAAAATCTCTCAGGTACACGCAAACCTAACCAGCGACCTTTTAAATTTTTACACCTACATGCACCTTACGCCCCTATTCGCGGCTGTAACCCTCTCGCGTTTTGCGCGTGTAACGTGTTCTACTACTTAAAACATTCTTTCCGTTTGCTACTACATGTAATACTTCTACTATCTGCTACGATTTATCACGCTTGCATCGTCTGCTAATATGCGTAAAACTTGTATCATTCTTTGCTATATATGTAACGCGTGTGTTGCCTGTTACTATGTGTAACGCTTGTACTGTCTGCTGCGATACGTATAATATTAAGAGCTAATATATATAGTATATAGGGTATACATAGGGTATATATACCTAGGTATTATTAGCTGTTGGTACTATTTGTATCGCGTACTACTGCAGATGAACTATGTGTACGTCGGCACGGACTCAGCTGTCTACCAGCTATCGGTGTCGCAATGCTCCCGCTACAGATTCTGTGGCGACTGCGTGAAGGACCCTTACTGCGCCTACGACAAACACAAGCGCAGATGTGTCGACTTTTCGGAACGGAGCAAACGAAAGTAAGCGCGCGCGTGACGCAGGGAAAACATCGGGAGCGAAACACACAATCTATACGATGCTGCGTCGATGATTCGATGAAAGCTCGAATGTCCGCAGGGAAATTAGCAAGCGCCAACAATAACCTTCTACAGTGATTTAGCGAACGTGACCATCCTGCGATGCTGATTCTGACGATGATGATGATGATGATGATGATGATGATGACGATGATGGAGGAGGAGGAGGGGAGGAAGGAGGAGGAAGAGGGGCAGGAGGGGAGGGGAGGGAGGGATATCGTTACCGGCGGATCAGATAATGGCAATTGGCCCAGTGTGACGGATAATAGGGCAGGTGGATTGATGCTTCCCCCGTGATGATTGTCGGGCAGAACAGCAATATAGATGAGAATGAGCGCGATGACGACGAGCGATGGCGATGATGCTGCATGTGATTAAGGCAACGCGCTATAGATGAGCGGAGTCCGGTGTGTGGGGTTTGTCTATTACAATACTGAAAATTTGCAATTAGATCTGGTCCTGCAGGTCACGTGAAGGGTACGGGACGGACGACACGGTGTTTTCCCCAGTGGTTATGCTTATCCATTTCACACTCGTTACATACGCTCGAAATATTGATTCGGAACGTGTCAAGTGCGAAAAAATAAGTTTTCGTTGAAAGGCTTCGTCAGTATAATTCGTTTTATCGTTCGTGGTGCAAATGGCATAAATCGGGCGATTGCTTAGGGCGGTCAGGTAGGAGTTAATCTGATGCGTAGTCTTATTATGTGGCATGTCTGGCGCAGGACGTGACTTGCATTTCACGTCGAGCATGGTCGCCCGTCCGGGACAGACCTGTATGCGCGCCTGTCCAGCCCCCCCGCTGACGTCGCGCGTCTACAACCCGCTCTGATCGGGTCTCCTGGTGTCACGGAGATGCAGTTCAATTTCTACGATGCGTGGTTACCTCCTG